ACCTGAAGTTTGTTGTCTTGCCGACCGGCACCAAAGCTTACGGAGTTCACTTACTGGATCATTTTCCCTTCCCCAAGGACGTTCCCCTACACGAGACTCTGCCGCGGATCCCAGAGCCCTTCGCGTCCCAAATGTTCTACTATGACCAAACCGACATGCTGTCGCAGATGGCCAAAGGGAAAGACTGGACTTGGTGTGAAATCATACCTGACAATATCATTGGCTTCGTGCCCAATAACAACATCTACTGCCTTGCACAGACAGTTGGTACGTATCTCAATTTGTTCGCGGAGCTTCATGGGAAAGGGGCTGAATGCCCGTTCCCCGGAAGCGAGAAGTCTTGGAACAATTTGAGCAGCGAGTGCAACCAAGACATCATTGCCAAAGTGTGCATCTACGCTTCACTTCATCCGGAACTTACCTCCGAGCAACGATACAATGTTGCGGACAGTTCGCAGCCCTCATCATGGAGCAAGAAATGGCCAGTCATCTGCGAGTACTTCGGCCTCAGGGGAACGTCGCCTCCAGCGGACGGACAGGCCCCCCAACCAACACAGTACCTGTCAGACCACATTGACGAATGGAAAGCGCTGGAGCAGAGACACGGTCTCGTTAGCGGCCGCGTTGCTAACGACCGAAGCTTCGGTGGCTTCGCAAGCTTCATCATGACCATGCTCAACTTCGATCGGCAGCTTGACCTTTCCAAGTGTCATGAGATGTGGGGTTCCAGTACGGAGGAGATTGACACAAGGCAGTCTTGGTATACCACATTGGACAGGTTCAAGAAGGCTAGGATCATCCACTAGTTGTAGGAAGTTCCTGGATGGATCGTTGGGGGCAATGGGAATGCAGGCGTACGTACATGGCAGGTACTGGGTGGTGATGGGCAGGGTTAGGGGGCCTTGTAGATAAGGTAGGTACTCTGTGGTCTTTCAGCCAAACACGAGCACTCTTTAGTTCTCCAGCTGTCCCCAAACCCCGCAAACCCTGACGTGAGTGATTGATTTCCGTACCTTACGGATACCCGTGGGCCATGGCGGCGCATAGCTACCCCGCGCGAGCCCCGCAGCCTCCATAAGGGAGCCGCAGGAGACCGAGGTCAAGGTTCCCCCAAACATGGCCAGGAGAGGCAGATCACACCCCATTCTTGGCTGAAAGTACCCCAATGAATCATTAGCGCCTTGATATTCCCGGCCGTTGTCTGCGAAACGGTTTGTGTGGTTCCCCATAGTGCCCTGTGTTCGTGCCGGGGGCGTTGTGCCAGCTCTCGTGCCGCGGTTCGACACGGCGAGGGAACAAGACTCCCGCCACCGGTTACACTCTCACAGCATCAGTTGCTCAAAAAGAGCCTACTCTAGAAGATATAGGGACTTGTTGATTTTGGTCACTGAAATCTCAATTGCATTTGACGCTTGAGTCGAGAACACCATCTTGTCGCCCCTGAAGATGGACACCGCAGCCCTGCATGGACCAGCCTTCAATCATCTCCCGCCATGGGTGAAAGCAAAACTCTCTCCTCTGGCCATCAGAAAGATCGAGGCCGTTTACGAGTGGGTTGAGAATGAGTGCATCCCAAGAGAAGAAATCTTCAAGGCACAGCTTGAGGGTCGGCGGTGGACGACGCCGCGGTTGATACATGAGTTACGGGATAAAGCCAAGGAACGCGGCCTGTTCAACCTGTTTCTGCCCAACCACTTCAAAGAAAGTCCCGGATTGACAAACTTGGAATACTCGTGTTGCGCAGAGATCATGGGTCGCTGTTACTGGGCAGCGCAGGTACGCGTGGCTCGACCTAGTTATGCTCATTCGGGACTACACTGACACTGTTCTACCAGACCATGAATTGCCACGCTCCCGAGACGGGCAACATCGAGCTTCTGGCTAAGTACTGCAATGAGGAGCAGAAGAACAAGTGGCTTCAACCTCTTCTGAATGGCACGGCCTCTTCCGCCTATTCCATGACCGAGCCAGATGTTGCCAGCTCAGATGCGACACAGATTGGAATCCGCATCAAGCGTGATGGAGACTCCTACGTCATCAACGGCAGAAAGCTCTACGGTAATTGTCTGTGGAACAAAGAGCTATCTTTCTACATCCTCATGGGCTGCACCGACCCGGAGAACCCCAACAAGTGGTCCCGCCACTCGATGATCATCGTGCCATGCAACACGCCCGGCATCACGCAAGTTCGGAACCTTACCATCATGGGATATGATCACGCTCCGGAGGGACACGGCGAATACTTATACGAAAATGTACGCGTGCCGGCAGAAAATGTCATCCTTGGCGAGGGCCGCGCCTTTGAGATTGCCCAAGGCCGTCTCGGACCAGGTCGCATTCATCACTGCATGCGTCTGATTGGACAGTGCGAGCGTGCCTATGAACTTGCGCTGATTCGATGCAATGATGCTCGCAAGAGGCCTCGCGGTAAGCTCATTGGAGAGTTCGATTCTAACATTGAGCGCGTTGCGCAAATGCGTCTTGAGCTAGACGCTGCCCGCTTGGTAGTCCTGAACGCTGCCGACACCATGGATCTTCTCGGCAACAAGGCGGGCAAGCGAGCTATCGCTCAGAGCAAGATCCTCGTGCCTATCATGGCCACTAAGATCATCGATGAGTGCATGCAAATGTTTGGCGGCCAGGGCCTCACGCAGCACACCCCTCTTCCCGAGATGTGGACATATGCTCGTTTCGTGAGGGTTGCTGATGGACCGGACGCAGCTCATAGACATCAAGTGGGAAGAGAAGAGATGAAGAAGGCAGCGGAGGTCGCAAAAAGACACCAGTCTTACACGGAAAGGTACAAGGAGTTCGCGGACAAGTACGGAGAGAAATTTATCACTTACAACTAGTGGTCGCTCCAGTCACTTTTCATCATCAGTCTGTCATGTTATCAATATATACAAAACGAGAGTGAATTCCACACCGTATACCCATAGAGCCCGCGTGAGAAGCCATCGATAAATCATCTGAAGGCGATTCCTTGCCTCTTAGCGACCTTTCCCTTCTCCATATCTTCCACCATGCTCGCCAGATCTTCCAACCCGTCCCGTATCTCCACTACGGGCATGATACCATGCTTGGCTGTGAACTCAACAGCCTTTTCCATGCGCTGAGGAATACTTGTGCTGTCTGCCTTGATCTTGTATCTCCCCAGCAAAAGATCCATTCCGTCAATCTTGATAGGCTCTTTCGATACACCGATAATCATCAATGTGCCTCCTAAGGTCAGACAGCTGGTAGCAGAAGCAAATGCGGGCGGCGCATTGGTGTACACAGCAACAGCTTGGACGCCACCACCCGTCAATTTCTTGATGTCCTGGGCCCATTCCGAGTTTGACATGGAGTTGAAGACAACATCAGCGCCTTGCTTTTTGGTCTCCTCGAGATTCGCGTCGGCGACGTCGATGCCCACAACCTTCAGTCCCATGGCTTTGGCGTACTGTGTCGCAAGTTGGCCGAGACCACCACAGCCAACTACACCGAACCAGTCTCCCGGTGAAAGCTCGCAGCTGTCGACAGAGTGGAATGCGGTAATACCAGCACAGAACACAGCCGAGGCAGCATCCATGTTCCACTTGCTTTCGTCGAGAACGATGGCGTTGTGGTAGTCCACGAGCGCATACTCTGCAAAAAATCCATCGACAACAAAGCCCTGGAGAAGCTGTTTGCCCGTCTCGCAGTGGAGGTTGTGAACCTGGCATCCGGAGCACGTGAAGCAACAACCTCGGATGTACAGAAACCCTACAGCGTCTCCAATACTGAAACCTCTTTCTTCGGCTGAAGGATGCATCGACACGATGTGACCGACACCCTCATGACCAAGCGTTACGGTCTTCTCCGCTTGTTGGATGGCCAGCACGTCGGAATGGCACAATGATGCTGATCTGATTTTGACAAGGAACTCATTCTTGCCTGGTTCTGGAACGGGAATCTCATTTACAACAACTTTTCGCAATTCCTGCAGGGAATGTTAGCGAAGATTCTACATCTGCTATCCGAAGCCATATATGTGCTTACGGGATTCCATTGTCCTGCTTTCATGGTCCTAGGAGGCTGTGGCTGAATGGAACCCATTTTGATAGAAGCTGGTCTCGATTTCTGAATAGGAGCTTACTAGTCTCGGTGGATGGTCCTCGTGAGCCAGAGGTACGACAGCCTGGACGATGTGCTTTAACCTGCATCACTCACCATGTCTATTATCGCAAGACACACCTCCAAGTAACGCTTAGCCGTGCCAGTGCCATCTTCCACTTCAGCAGAGCTTAACCTGGAAGATGTTAACACTGAATGCTTGCGCCGGAACACCTCTTCCTGGACAATCCATCGGTCGCAGACTTAGAGTGCTGACAGTGGGCCATATCTCATCCTTCCGCGGGGTGCTAGTGATGGAACTTTGCTACACGCCTCTGCACTGTTGGTCTCCAGATACACCCCCCTCCACCACGTTTGTATGCCCCACCTCAAGCGGGAGCCCATGCGGGGTACTGGGTATTGCTTGATCGTCGCGGGAGCTTCATCACGCCCGAGCCCCGAGTCAGATTGACAAGGCTCTCTTGGCTTCATGACTCAACAGGATATTGATAGCCAGCTCATGATGCTTGCTGTTGGACGGCCGTTGGCTGTCACGGACCTAGGTAGGTGACGTCTGCCGCGGACTACCGTGGAACCATCAGTACCTGAGAAGCCGACCTCGCGCTGCGCCAAGTTCGTCTTGCAGCCGGGTGTCTTCCGTATCACATCAGAAGGCGCAGGCCCCTCACTACGGATGCAACGAGAGGTTTCGTAAAGGAGCTGGAATGAATAAGCACGTAGGAGAATGCATCTGCTCCCCATTCGCACCAGTCGGTAACTCTTGCCCGCATCGTAGGAAAACAGGAAGACATACGACCACTGTGGTCCTTGAAAATATCGCTGACGCCCAACCCTGGATCTCATGCTTCTAGTCGGTCAACAAATCAACCGGCTTACAGTAGAAAGCATTTGACTCACTCTTCAACATGGCTCTTTTCACGTCTTCATCGAATGAAGCCACGGACGGCCAGAAGTCCGCATTCTCTTGGAACAAAGACAATCTTCCCAAGCAACATTTCATTAACAATGAAGTAAGAGGCGCTTGCCCCTGAGGCCGATGCATCTGACTGAGACATTGGCAGTACGTGGATTCGAAGAATAGCAAGAAGCTTGAGCTTTTCAACCCAAAGGACGAGTCTCTCGTTGCCAACGACGTCGCTCTCGGTGGGCAAGAGGATGTCGATGCTGCAGTAGCAGCAGCAGAGGCTGCCTTTCCGAAGTGGAAGAAGACACCACCGAACGAACGCCGCGATATGCTGTTCAAACTCGCGGAATTGCTTGAGAAGAACGGACCGGCTTTGGCAGAGATGAATAGGCTCACGCTCGGGGCACCCTTTGAGTCCTTCGGCACCTTTGAACTCCAACTGTCGGTAGAATGCCTCAAGTACTTTGGCGGCTGGACCGATAAGTTTGCCGGAGAGACATATCCGCAAGAAGACGGGTTCCTCAAGATCGTGCGCAACGAACCACTTGGGGTAACTTGCGGCATCATTCCCTGGAACGGGCCCATCGGAAACATCGGTATGAAGGCTGGTCCGGCACTCGCGACTGGCAACTGCTTCATCCTGAAGCCATCGGAAAAGACGCCTTTTGCGGCCCTGGCCCTCGGCAGTCTAATAAAAGAGGCTGGCTTTCCACCTGGTGTGTTCCAGGTCGTTGCAGGAGACGGCAGTACCGGGGCTCTTCTCGCTAGCCACATGAAAGTGCGCAAAGTCAGCTTCACAGGATCGACGACGACGGGGCGCACGATCATGAAGTTGGCAGCCAGCAGCAATTTGAAGCGCGTCACACTGGAGCTGGGCGGCAAGTCTCCGGCGGTGGTTTTCAAAGACTGCAACATGGAGAATGCCATAACCTGGTGTGCGAACGCCATTACCATGAACACTGGGCAGGTATGTTTTGCGGCCAGCCGTGTGTACGTCGAGTCATCGATATACGATGAGTTCTTGGCAGGCTACAAGAAGGCGATGGAGGAGAAGATCAAGGTTGTTGGTGACCCCGAGAAAGCGGAAACTGTGATTGGGCCCCTCGTTGACAAAGCGCAATTCGAGAGAGTGCGAGGCTTCATCGAGAGAGGCCAACAGGGGCAGGGTACGCTGCTGGTTGGAGGGGGACGGGTCGGCGAGAAGGGGTACTTTGTGCAGCCGACCGTGTTTGAGGCCGGCAAAGAGGATGCTGAGATCAACAAGCAGGAAATCTTTGGGCCGGTGGCTGTGATCCACAAGTTTGAGACAGAAGAGGAAGTGCTCGCCAAAGCCAATGACACGGAGTACGGGCTTATGGCTGGCGTTTTCACGCAGGACATCAACAAGGCGCTGAGAGTGGCGTCCGAGTTCGAGAGCGGCATGGTCGGCATCAATTGTGTCAGCCTTTGCTTCTTGACGGCTCCTTTCGGCGGAAGCAAGCAGAGCGGTCAGGGTCGCGAGAACGCCATCAACGCGTTGCGAGCCTTCACAGAGCCGAAGACGGTCATGGTGAACTTGACGTACTGATTGATGGAAGGGTGCTTGGGTACGGTGGAATGAATGAATCAAATGGATGAAAGAATGGTGGAATTGGTCGCTCAGGTTTCAGTGGAGATTTCCACCTCAAACATACACTGTACCTACCTACCTCAGGCACCTAAGGTAAGGTGCCTTCATCGTGGGAAGCCCAGGTAGCAGAGGCGAAATTGTACCGTGTGTATTTACTTTGAAATTGGCAATCATATTTCTTTCACACTGTATTTCGAGGCCCGACTCGACCCCGCCAAATCCATAGATCAATCGATGCACCGACCGACCAGAACTGAAGAAACCCACGCACCCCTCAGTTTACCTACCTAGGTACGGTACGTGTTCCCGTCTCCAATATGCTGCGGGTGCCTCCCGAAGGTCGGTAGGGTCAGATCTTGGACATCCTCCCTGCAGCCAATCGTGCACCTCCGTCAACCGGAATGTCGACGCCGTTTCTGTTAAGCATCCATCAGCTTCTTCTGCCCGTCCAAATCTCGTCATCCATCGCCAGAAGGGGCACGAATACTCACACGTACTTGCCCGCAGGCGAGCAGAGAAAGACTGCCACGCCTGCTATGTCATCGGGCTCACCCAATCTGCCCAGAGGATTGTCCTTGCTGAGCTCTTCCACCCCGCCCAGATTGCTAATGAGGCCCTGCGCCAGCTTCGATGGGAAGAAGCCGGGCGCGATGATGTTGGACGTGATGTTTCTCGGCCCGAGCTCAACCGCCAGGTTGCGACCGAGATGCTGCGGCAATCACACATCAGCAAAGTTCATCGTGGTCAGATGAGATACCCGACTCACATTCGCAGCCGCCTTGGAAGTGGAATACATGATAGTGCCGTGCTCCCCTACATGCGGCACATTGTTACCCGCCGTCGAACTGACAATCAGCACCCGAGCCGGATCTTCTTTCGACGCCGCTAATTCGAGCAGCGGAAGCGACCTGTCGCCATGTCAGCAACCCGGTCCGGCTTCGTCGACCGATTCTTCGCTCTCACTTTTGCACCAGCTCGAACACGCCTCGCACATTGAGGTCTAGGATTTTGACTGAGCTGCTTGGCGGAGCATCTTCAAACTTGGATCCCCAGGCTGCTCCGGCGTTGCACACCAGAATGTTCAGGCCTTTGCGACCAACAATGTCCTTGACCTCACCAGTCAATCGAACGATGTCCTGCGAGTCAGCCACGTTGGCGGCTATGCCTGTCGCCTTCCCTTCAATTCCCGGAATTTTGTTCAGTTTCTCAACTGCCTGGTCAATGCCTTGATCGCCGCCGCGTTTTCGAGCCGTGATCACGACCTGAGAGCATCCCGCAAGGAGGAATGCTGTGGCCATGTGGAGGCCAAGGCCGCGAGATCCGCCTGTGACCAGCGCCGTCTTCCCTTCGAGGGAGAAGGCGGATCTAAGGTTCTTGAGTTCGGACATGATTTTTGGGAACAAAGTCTCTGCAGATTGAAGGGCTCGAGAAGAGAGCGAACGAGCATGCGTCTCTGGATAGAGACAAGGGTGATCGCCCAGGCACTCTCACGGTCAAGACCCTCGCAATATGAGGTCTGTCAGCATGGGGCCTCCAAACATGCGGTGCTCTTCGGCTTGCCAAAGCTTTTTCCGTGGTTAGCATCGGCCACGTCGGGTTTATCCCAAGGGAGCTCCCCAAGTACCCAGGAGGATCTAGGGGTAGCTACCCCAGACTCCCCCAACTACCTTACTACCCCGCAATCCCGCTACCGACGCCATCCCGAGGGAGCACACGGCCAAGATGACGGCTTGCCATGCTAACGCCGTCTCTCTAGCATCATGATAATTCCCAATTCCCTTCCTTATCAGGTGAAACAAACACAGACCGTCAACCAGCTCCCTCAATTGAAGACGCACAAGCCCGCCCCCCGGCAACTTTGTTATCGCCATTCAGTTCTTTCCAAGGTCTGGTTTTCGATTCCTCAGAGCAAGCACCGATTCAACATGGTCATCACGTCACCTTACCCATCTTTGGAATTGCCCAAGACAAACCTACTGTCGTATTTGTTCCCTCGTGATGGGGTGTTATCGGACGAGCCCCTGTGGATCGACTGCAAAGATGAGGGTATCAGCCTCTCCCCCAGACAAATGGAACAGTGGGTAAAACGCCTCTCCTTCGGCCTAGAACGACTAGGCCTCCGGCGCGGAGATGTTGTCATGATTTGCACTCCAAACCAGATATATGTGCCTGCTGCATACCTTGGGATCGTGGGAGTGGGATGCATCTTCAGTGGTGCCAACCCGGCTTACACAGTGTCTGGTGGGTCTCCCCTTTACGCGGAAAGGGGCATGAGCTGACATCTGAAAGAACTCGTTCACCAGATGACCAACACCACCGCCAAGCTCATCCTAGCACATCCCAATCACCTCGAACAGGTGCTTGAGGCAGCAGCCAAAGCCGGAGTCCCGAAAAGCCGCATTTTTCAATTCTCTGACGCCGAGAACGAGACCAGGCGTGGCATTCCCGACTGGAGGCACATGATTGGGACGCCAACGGAGGCGGACTCGTATCAATGGCCGGAGCTGAGCCCTGAAGAGTCTTCCAAGACTGTGGCCACGATCAATTACAGCTCCGGGACAACCGGTCTTCCCAAAGGAGTATGCGTGTCGCACCACAATCTCATCGCCAATGTCGAACAAACAATATTCATGCGATACGCAGAGAAACCCTACGCCTTTGAAGCACGCCCTCAGGAGAGATGGGTTGGCTTTCTTCCACTATACCATGCCTATGGTCAGCTCTACGTCATACTCATGGCCGTCAAACTCCATGTGCCCGTCTACATTATGAAGGAGTTCAGATATGAAGACTTCCTGTTCGCAATCGGCAAGTATAGAATTACCAGCCTGCAGGTAGCGCCACCAATACTGGTCATGCTCTCTAAGCGGCCTGAGACGGCTCGCTACGACCTCTCGAGCGTGAATGAGGTGCTTTGCGGAGCAGCCCCATTGTCCCGAGAGCTTCAGAATGAGTGCCAACGGAGGTTCAAAATTCAGATAAATCAGGGTTGGGGCATGACGGAGGTGACGTGCGGCGCTATCCATGTGCCTGGCGGCATCAGAGATGATACAGGCAGCGTCGGCAGGCTCGATCCCAATTGCGAATGCAAGTTGGTTGATGAAGAAGGCAGAGAGGTAGCCTTTGGTCTGCCGGGCGAGCTGTGTGTTCGTGGACCGAATGTGTGCCTGGGCTACTGGCGAAATGAGGCTGCCACGAAGGAGGCGCTGGACAGCGAGGGTTGGCTAAGGACGGGTGACATCGCCATATGTAATAAAGATGGCTACTTTTGGATTGTAGACCGCAAAAAGGTAAGTGTTACCATGGCTTGGAGGATCTCATCCGGTGTTCAGTCTGACATGAAAGTAGGAGCTCATCAAAGTCAATGCTTTGCAGGTCGCTCCTGCAGAATTGGAGGCCGTTCTTCTCGAAAATGAGCACATAGCAGATGCGGCCGTCGTTGGAATTGTCATGTACGTCCGAATAAGGTCTCCTGAAGCTTTGAAACAACATTAACGCAAATCAGCGATGGCAACGAATGGCCGAAGGCTTACGTGGCGGTACAAGAGGCGTCCAGGGGCAAAGTCAAGCCCGAAGACATACAGGAGTGGGTCAAGCCCCGGGTTTCCAAGCATAAATGGTTAGCGGGCGGCGTTGCGTTTGTGGACGAAGTGCCCAAACTTGCAAGCGGCAAGATTCAGAGGAAGACTATGCGGGAATGGTCCAAGAGGGATGCTGCGGCACTGGCAGATACGAAGAGCGCCAAAGCAAGGTTGTAGAATACCTGTGTTCCTAAGCTTCCAGGGACACAGCAAGATCTTTGTGTAACCCCACGCATAGTGACGTGTTTTGTCTAGAACCTTGCCAATAATCGTCAAGACGCTACCATCAACCTTCAGACGGTGCGTTGGGTATTGATTACGTGCAGACACTAGCTCTTGCTTGATGAAAGACCTGTAAATACCAGCCGTCAAACCCAGGCAGCGACCCTCACGAGCAGCTAGATCGCCCGGGGAAGCAACTCGTCGCCTCGGTCGTCAACGTTCATGTTAGGTAACTCAACGGGCAGCTACGACATGCGACCCCTCACCGAAGGCGAGATTCGGATTTAGCAGCATGACGGACCCCGTACCCCGTCTGAACTCATCGCCTATCTGACATGGGATGTGCATTGGAACCAACGGGTAGCATCCAATGTTGATTACTACGTCAAGTGTCCATCGCCTCTCCATATTGGCCCGAGCTCCTCCGGTTGAGGTTTCCCGGCTGCTTCCCGTTGCTTTTGCTGCCCAGCCCAAGACTCGCCGCCCCCGCTCTTCCGGTTCCGCACCTCTTCATCCGCATCCTCGACGACAGTCTCACGAAAGTCAATCACTAAAGCGACGGGGACCAGGCCCGGGGTTTCTATCTCCAGCAACCTGGCTTCATCGTCGCGTGCCACGCTACGGGATAAACATTCCATCCCGGGAAGCCGCCATGCATTCTACTACAACCACCCCCTTTTGAACTGCCGAGAAACATCTCATCCATGCCATCAAGTGTTGCCGCCTTGTCAAAGTCTCCCAATCATACCGGTGACATTCACGGTAGGATCTTAATGCGGTAGGCCTGCAGTTGCTACTGTAGGTTCGGAATGCCAATCGGCCAAAGTTAAGCCTTGGGGCCTTCGTCTGGTCTCTGGGAATCTTGGCCCAAGCGGTGCCATCACCTCAAACATGACTTGTTTTCACTCCAAGTCTCGATCCCACTGAGTCATGGTGGCTTGTTGGCCTGACCAGAGCCGTGCTCTCTCACGAGATCCCCTGACTCGAGATGGTTGAGATCGCTACCAATGCCGATGGCGGCGAATCCAACCTGCTACTCACACTCCAGTCACACGCCCAAGTGAGCCCGCACACATGCGGCAGGCCATGCAATCGGCCGTCCTCCAGACCGCCCAGCAGCCCCGCCCAGGACAAGTGGTCCACTCCGTCTGTTTG